CTGCGGTCTCCAGCCCGCCTCCGGACGGCCTCTCCGACCGGAAGGCCTGGCCGAAACACTACTTCCGACTCCGACCCCACTCCTCCGACCGGGGATGCGCCAAAACCCTGCTCACTGCTCTTCTCCGACTAGCGCGATCAGAGCCGACTAGGACCAACCGACCGGGGACGTCCGCTCGGTAAGGACCAGAAAAGGATGGAGAAAGTAAGGCGGGGCGCACAAGTCAAACAGCAATACCGGGGCCCGTACCCTGTACACCTGCGGAAACAGTACTCTGCAACCTCCCTGGCATGGCAGAGCCCGAGTAGTATTGTAGGCGCCGACATTTTCCCCTACAGTGTTGTGGGCGCCATTAACTTCCATACGGTAAGGCTCCCCCACATGCCTCTGGGCATCGACAGTGTTGTGGGCACCGACATTTACCGTACCAGGCGAATATGGTAAAAACCCATTGCATGCCTCCAGGAATCAACAGTGTGGCAGGCGTCGACGTCTGCCATACCCGAAGAAAGCAATTCAACCTCCCACGTGCATCTGACATCCAACAGTGTTGTGGGCGCCTACCATCATCCTATACCTGTCGGCGTGGGCAACAAGGCTCAGCAGCAAACGTACTCCTTCCCTCTCACTTGTAAGACCATCCCCTTCATCTATAAAAGGGGATGAGCTCTCTTCCAACATTCAGATTCATTAGATCGATCAAGTTCACTAGTTCACAATCACAGAACCGCCAGGTTCGAACCTCAAGCACACGCTTGAACACTTAGCTCATAGCGAGGCTCCCGTCACTTCCGGCCCTTCCGACCGGAGTCCGACCGGACCTCTTGTACCCCCATCTTTCTCCTTCTCGTTTGTAACCCCACTGCAAACTTCGAGCACCTGGGCTCAGGAATAAAGTCACCGACCGACTCAAACTGAACGTAGGGCACGTTGCCTGAACCAGTATAAACCTTGTGTCATTGAGTGCTAGGCCACCTCGGATCACAACGTACGGTAAAACTACAAATATTTACTTGTTGGTCACTTTCTGCACCGACACAGCTCATAGTTGAAATAAATGGATACTAATGGTCTGTTTGGCTCAGCTTTGGGTTGTGAAAAAGGAGCCGTGGGCTGTGAAAATGATGCTGTCAGTTATGTGCTACGAAGAAGTTACAAGCTGTTTGGTTAAAATAACTACAAAACCTTCCCATCTCTATTTTCTTTGAAATAATTGGAAAACGTCTCTCTATTTCCATCCATTTGAAAAAGCCAAAAGCAGTGTTCAAAATATTGCGAAAATTATACTACATGATTCTGGATAGCCGCCGTTTCTAGAAAAACAGCTTTGGTTCTAGCCGTTTAGTTAGCTTTTTGTATTTTGGCAGCGGAAGTACTCTCTGAAAGCTAAACTATGACAGCCTAAATCCTACAAGTATTGCAACGCAAGGCACTATGAAGTGTGAACCACTCACAGCCTAACAGGACCATTTTGACCTAGCACATTCTGAGTCGACACCGTGGGAAAGAAAAACAAGATTCCAAAGTATTCGTCCAGGGTGAAAAACAAAACAGTATTGCTATATGTCAACCGGTAGATTTGTGCTCTTCTGTCAACCAAATTCTGGGCTGAAGGATCAAACTCATGCGCGCTCTGTGGCGTTTGATTTGGCTCGCCTTGGAGGAAGGCTCCCGCTCCCCGGCACCACACCGCTCGGCACCGGCCTCCCTTCGCCGCCGCACTCTAGGCTGCCCGTTCGCCCCTACCCCCCAAGCCAGCCGTCCCCTGCCGTCCTCAGGCCGGTCGTATGCCGCCTCTCCCCAGCACCGACCACCCTCCGCCACTTCCCCCAAGCTGGACATCCAACGCCGGCTGTCCGTCTCGCGGCCCTGGCACCGGTGCCGCTGCTCCCTTCGCCGCCGCCCCCTGGCGCGGGCGTGGCCCCCGTAGCTGCGAATTTGTTTTACCTTGAAATTTGTGAATAATTTGTGAACAATTTGATAATATTTGTGAACAGATCGACATATATTTCTCTGATATCTGAAATCCATAGAAATAATTTGTATTACTTTAAAAAAATTGGCATATATTTGTATTATCCTCAAATTACACCATTGTGTCCGATAAAATACACTAAAGATTGTAAATATAGTAATAAGTCAATATAAAAAAGGTAGAAGACACTGCAAGTGCACGTGGAAAATTCAGTTAACAGGAGGGGCCAAAACAACTAAATGTCACCTAAACACATCCAATACAAAAGGAATCACTTAGAAAACCCAACATGCATGCACTTGTACAATGCAGAGCAAGGCACGTACTACGTTGGGTCGATCCATGCACTATTGTAAATGTTTTAAATCTCCCGCTATAGTTGTCGCTATATTCCGCTATAGCTTTTTAAGACAATGTGCTACTATTTGTGTTTATGTACAATTTAGCCGCTATATTTCGTTATAGGCTGATTTAGCTCCGCTGATTTAGAGGTATATAGCTAAACGCATGACGCCCTGTCGTCTCCACTCCACTCCACAGGTCTGTGTATTGATCCGAACAAACCTAACTCTCTTCACTGTGGATGGCAGTGCGCTCTATTGCGTGGCAATGCCATGCATTGATGTGGCAATTGCTCCTCCTGTGATCCTGTCCCTCAGTCAGATTAACCCGTCCCGTCCTCCTCTAGTTACTGTGCGATGATTTGATGATTGATAAAAAGGTAATCCAGTGTCAAATCAGAAAATGGTAAACAATCGTCTTCCGTTGTGGAATCCCAGGAAAAAATGGAATGCCAGTATTGACCGGGATGGGATGACGTGTGTATGTTCGTCGTCTCCCTCCTTTCCTCTCACAAGGGAATTCTATTTTTTTTTATTGATGAACAACATGGCAGTTGTGCTGGCTGCAGCGGGCTTGAACTTATCAGCCGTTTTATCAGCTAGAATCTATAATTTTTTTCTCTTACAACAAAACAGTTTCAGTCGGTTTATCAGCCGGCTTTAATACCAGCCGAACAGGCCCGACTCTAATTTCGTCAGTACCTCGCCGTGCATCCACTAAGGCCTTGTTTTGTGCGATATGAGACAGTCGCATAGGTATTCGGATACTAATAAAAAAATAATTTACAGAAGCTCTGTTTGTTATGCTAAAAAGCCATGACTGGTAAGAGAAAAACACCGTTCGTTCGCTGAAATAGTACGGCTCATAAGACCGGCGAACAGGGCCAGAATCCGTTAGTAATCCGCGAGACGAATTTATTAAGCCTAATTAATTCATCATTAGCACATGGGTTACTGTAGCACCACACTATCAAATCATGAACTAATTAGGCTTAAAAGATTCGTCTCGAAATTAGTCGCAAACTGTGCAATTAATTATTTTTTAGTCTATATTTAATATTACATACATGTGTCCAAACATTTAATGGGATAGAGAATAAACTTTAGGAGGAGGAATTGAACAAGGGGCCTGTTCGCTTGGAGGAATTCTGGAGGAATTTGGATGGTTTGGAGGAATGCTGGAGGAATTTGTGAGAGAAAAACACTGTTTCGGATGAAAAAAAAAACGGATCAAACCGGATTTAAGGGTACGCGAACGGAGCCAAGGTGTGAATGCAAGGAGGGCGACAAATATCCACTGGCTGCAGTGAATGCAAGGAGTACAAAGAATGTTATTTTTATTTTCTATGAAGTCAAATATTTTCAATTTTTAAATACATATATACCCGATGAATAAGGAAAGGTTTAGATATAGAAATATTTTTCTAGATCCAAATGATACATGTATGATCTATTAGATGTTGTAGATCTTTCTATTTAGCAACTTTATAAACATGACATGATTTGATTAGCATAACCTTCTAAACTTTGGACTACAGCGGCAGGATGAGAAAAGGAGCACGGAATAGGAAGGAGCCGTGCCGCACTGCCGCTGGATTTCTATTTTCTAGTCTCCCGTGCCCGTGATAAGAGGGATTTGATAATTTTTTTTTATTTTCCTAGGTTAATTAATTAATTAAAAAATCTTAGAAATTAATTAATTAATTATTGATTTAGATTTATTGAAGATATTACCTTCTAATAATAAATAAAAAAGTACCGTAGCATTGTTCAACCAACGAGATTACATTGCACGCGGGACACGCCAAACAAATCACTCTCTCTTCCCCAGCTCGCGGGAAAACCCGAAGCCGGAAAATATGATACGAGCAAGGACAAAACCGCGCACGAGAATGGCCGCCGGCGTCAGAATCCACCGCCCGCCCTGCGCTTCGTAGTCCGGCTGACGTTATGTTCCCGTAGAAATTGACCCGTCCGCCGGCCGGAAGAAGGTGCAGTACAAATAAACTTTGTGGAGCCAGAGGAGCCAAGAAATTACTCCGGTGGAACGCGATATGATTCCGGCGTTTGTCTTGGCTCCTCCTCCTCCTCCCGATTCAGCGTGGGGGCCGTGTCCAATGCGGGGCCTCCCTTCCTTCCCGTCCCCATGGCGCCCGCTATGATTTCTTGCCAAATCACTCGCGCCGTTGCCTCTTAAGCCGCAATCCATCCCCCGAGTCGTCCCCTCCCTCGCCCCTCTCTCCACACAGTCTACAGTCACACACGTCGCTTCCTTCTTCCTCCGGTGCCCCCTCCCGCCGCTCCTCCGCCGGAGGCGCCCCGGTGGAAGAAGCCAATGAGTTTGGCTCCGTGTAGGCGCACTGGAGTGGACTGGAGATGCCCTGCCTGACCCTGCAATGCAATCCGTCGCCGGTCGCTGATCAGTCGAGCTCCTGATTTGGAGCCTTTTTACGGATTTCTTGGGGGCCCATCGCCGTGTTTCCCTTGTTGCCCGCTTTGGCCGTGCATTAATAGCCGCTTCCTTGTGATAGTCCTCTCCCTCCGTCCTCCCTTCCCTGTTCTCTCCCCCTCTCCTCTCTCCTCTCGCTCGTCTCCTTGGTCGGCTCTGTTCTTGGGAGTGCTGCCAGTCTGGTTGCGTTGCGGCAGCAAAAACTTCATCGACAGCATCTGCCTGCGCCGTTCTGATGGGTTTGGGTTGCTTCGGGTGCTTCGCGCCGGAGGTGGATGAGGACCTCAAGCCCTCCAAGCCCGATGATTCATCAGGTCCGTAGTTCTCGATTTCCATCCGCAGCGTGTTCGGTTGTGTCTTGTGGCTTGGATTGCTGTGCCTGACTCTTGCTGGGAAACAGGGGCCGATGCGAGGAGAAAGGTCGCGCCGGATGTGGCCAACGGCTACGCGCACAGCTTCACCTTCAAGGATCTGCTCGTGGCCACCGGCTACTTCAACGAGGCCAATTTCATCGGAGAAGGTGGATTTGGGAAGGTGTACAAGGGCAAGATCAACGGACAGGTGGGCCAGAACAGTATTTTTTTTTCGCACCAAACTAAGCCACGGTACTTTCAGACATGGATATAAACTAAACGAGCCCAAAACATCCGTTTTTTTTTTGACAGTTTTTGTGGCGACAGTACCGTGACAGACGGCGCCCTATGCGTTTTCCTTTTTTTTTGTGCGCAGATGGTGGCAGTGAAGCAGCTCGCTCGAGATGGTGTGCAGGGGAGGAACGAGTTCTTGGTCGAGGTGCTCATGCTGACAGTGCTCAACCATCGCAATCTTGTCAGCTTGGTCGGGTTCTGCGCGCAGGGGGACGAGAGACTGCTAGTCTACGAGTACATGCCGTTCGGAAGCCTGGAGAGCCATCTCTTTGGTAAACTCTCCACTCTTTATTCTTCAGCTTTCTGTGGTTCTTGGTTGGGGAATGTGTGCAGTGTACTTCTGGAGTTGGTATCTCAGGGGCCTGTCCATTTTTTTCGCCGATTACAGATATCAACTGGAATGCTTGCCTACCTTTTCGCTTTTGATTTATGGCAGTTCTCTGCCTTTTCCCTTTTGATTTGTGATAGCAAGTTGCTGTAGTGTTTAAGGGGAAAAGATTTGGAGGCAACTAATTGGACATTTCATACTCTTGGAGATTACATAATTTAATGTACAATTGAATAAAATGAAAGGTAGAAATCAGTACCGTTATATGCTTTTCCTATTTGGGTTCAACAAATGGATCATCCTTTTTCTTTGTTCCTTAAAAACTTCCTGTCAGATGATGATTTAACTTCTCTGCTGCTATGAATACTTTTACCGTGAGTCTGTGCCTGTCTATGTGCTTTGATTATTCAGTTTGGATTCACTCTGAAGTCTCAACGGATATTTTTACTTTTTAACTTAGAAATTCTAATAAAAATGAAACCGTTTCATAACACAATATTTTGTCCTGAATCACTCGAAGCCTGCCCAACATGCACGACAGGTCTACCCATGCATAGCAGCTCCAAGCACTTTTGCCCTCACCATGCACAATGAGTGCCGTGCAGATGTCAGTTCCTGTGGGACTTTACCTAAGCTCGGGCAAGACTAGCTAATCCAGTTAACCCTGTTACTATATACATGAATAAATCACCATGAATATGATAACCCCAATAATACTTTTTTGTTTTGTTTTTATTGTCAAGAATCTTCTGACAATGAAGTATGATCTTTTAAATTACTATTTGCTAATTTAAGCTAGGCGCTGATTGTGCCAGTAAGCACAAAATAACCTACCAGCAATTTATTGCTAGTAATGCTCTAGCCCTGCCAGCGAAAACCAAAGAGTAATGAAGTTTCATCACCATCTGCTGTTTTGTTTCTGTTGCCTTGTTTATTCGAATCCAGGACATCTTTTCAACTCATTTAAAAGCTAAGATTTTCATTTGTACCAGAATGATGATTGAGATGCCTACTTAATCTGTTAAGCACTGCTGTACTCCCATATATCTTCCTTTTTTTAAAAGGCTCCATTTCTCTTCACATTCATATATATATTTTTTTGTTTGAACTGCAACTGTTATTTTGTTATATCCTTAAGCCATATAATTAAACGCATGCCTCCTTTCACCATGTCTGTGCTGTTGGTTTGCATCTCCTCTTTCCTAGAAGCAACTGATATGTTCTGCTTGCTGTCAAAACTATGGATGTTGCTGCTGCTTGTTGTTTGTCTATGTTGCAAACTGTCGAAACTGTGTCCAATTTCTATTGAGGTGAATTTGAAAAATACTGTTGTTTGCCTTGTCTTGTCACTTTCAGTGTCAGAGTTATCTCTATGATCCATTAATTGTGCTTCATTTAACTATTTTACTAAGTGAAGAACTAGACAAACTACCTTTCAAAAAAAGACTAGACAAACTTTTTAATCTCAGCATTTTATTTGATAACTGTGTAGTCAAAACTGTGAACCACTCATTCTGTGAAATGGCAACTCAGTTGTCAAACCAATGAACCACTAATTCTGTAAAAGGGTGCAGGTGTACAACACTGTATAGATACCATCATGCAACCAACACAAAATATTTATAATAATTGTTCGTTTTAGAGACAGACCTGAAAAACCTCCTTATTCTAACAGACTATGCCAAAATTGTTCAGCCACATAATACCTAAGGGCTAGCCAAATTGTCCCCACAGAGAATTATTGAAGTCCTGAGGTTCTCATGGCTTGTCTCATGTCTGAACATGACATGTTCGTCCTGATGATAGCAGAGCTAGGTATGGGCATCATGTGAGCCCTCAAGTCTTTTTGTTTTTTTCTTTGCTTAAGTATTTTGGAGCTTTGTATAGCGGTGTAGCCCACTGGATGTGTTGCTATGCTTATGGATTCTGAGAGCTGTTGTTTACTATAAAAATCTGAAGCTGCAGAGAAGCATAAGCCACTCAAATTATTCTAATGCAATGTTTCCATTGGTGAAATTGCACATTTACATCTACATTTTTCTTTTGTTTATTTATCTTTCAATTCACAGATTTTTCTTTTCTCCTTTGAATAGATGTGCCCCTTGGCAAGAAACCACTTGACTGGAACACACGAGTGAGGATAGTCGTTGGAGTCGCTGAAGGGCTTTCTTACTTGCACAATGTAGCTGATCCACCTGTGATTTACCGTGATATGAAAGCTGCTAATATTCTGCTGGGTGAGGACTTCAGCCCGAAGCTCTCTGACTTTGGGCTTGCAAAAGTCGGACCAGTTGGAGACAGAACTCATGTGTCCACAAGAGTTATGGGTACCTATGGCTACTGTGCTCCTGACTATGTTGTGAGTGGTAAACTTACCATGAAATCCGACATATACAGTTTCGGTGTTCTTCTGTTGGAACTGATCACAGGAAGGAGGATTTATGACGCTTCAAGGCCTAAACCAGAGCAGAGTCTGTTAACATGGGTAAGCAGCTTTGCCTTGTTACCTAGTATAAAAGGTCTAAAGTTTTCCATTCAGACAGCGCAGAGCGCCTTATCGCTTTCTCTGAATTTTGCAGTCGAGGCCATTCCTGCATGATAAGAGGAAGTTCTACCGGCTCGCTGATCCGTCTCTGCTGGGCTGCTACCCGTCATCAGCACTGAACCAGTTAGTCGTGATCAGCATCATGTGCCTCCAAGACCAGCCGCATGTCCGCCCAATCATCTCCGATGTTGTGATAGGTCTGAATCATGTCGCAAGCCAGCCATACACCTCTGAGCGCCCGCCGCCTGCATCAATGAGCTCCCCTGCGAGCAGCGGGTCGCCGCAACTCGTCAGCACTCCATCCAGAAGGAGAGGTGGTAGGACTGCGCATTACGCTTAGGGCTTAAGCCCGCAGACAGACTGCATGCATGTCTCGAAGAGCAGCAAGATACCTCACCTCGGTCAGATGAGACCGGTAGGAGGGCTGTTGAAACTGAAGCCGTCAAGTACTCAAGTTCCATTTAGTCAGCCTTTTTGATTGAGTTGAAGCGGTCTCTGAGTGACCTGCTTGACAGAGAGTTCTAGTGAGGCTGATGGTAGGAGTTGAAGCTGACCATGCATGACTATTGCTCTTTTCATATGCTTCTTCGTTGTTTTCAGTTTTGAATTCTGTAGCCAGTGGACATAGGAAGGATCAGTGTCCTCTGTGGGGGAGAAAAGAATGCACCAGTCATGGTAGAGGAGGGGGACATTGTGCCTCCTTTTGGGAAGTTCATCATCAAGTTACCAGTCATGTACAGAATTGTCATGGTTTGGTGCATGTTGTTGGCCTGTAGATGCAATAAGAAATTCACCAGGGTTTTAACTGAAGAGGCATAGTAGATCAGTCAAATGTTGGTCATTTGTGGCATTTCTGAGCCCAACTCTTTGGAAATCTGTGTCGTCTAAGACGCAAGCCTCATGCCAGAGGCTGTCCGCTAGCTTGGAACCGTTCAAATCCTTGTGCCTTTGGATTGTGATCTCCTCTGTCATGGGCCATGGCGATCAGGCGATGATGGAGTCGTCCATGGCCTTGACGTGGTTAAGGGTCCAGCTGCCGACGATTTGGTCCACCGAACCGCCACGTCATGGGAGGCGCCAAGGCGATGCTCTAGTCCCGTTTGTTGCTTTGCTGCTTTTGACATGGTCCACGAGATCCATAGGCACACAGCGGCCGGGGGCTTTGTTTCGATATTCACGGCTACCTTTTTCTTTCTTTTTTTCTGCTCTGAAATACAATATACACTCACCTCTGTCAACGCATTACCCATATGACGATGGGTTTTTTTACGTTTTGTTGGTGTCTTCTCCGGACGGTCTGCACTTTCTGCAGCTGGCGAATTTTTTGGGCCCAAAATGTTGGATAAAACAGTGCCAAAAGGACATGGACAGTGACGTTCGGCAGTTGGGTAAAATTTTGTCTTTTTTGCAAGGCTGTCGGTTTTTGACGTGTGACTGTGAGCAACGTAACGAAACAGACTCTGGTGGTCTCTTTTGTCGCAGTCAGTTGAATCCGAGCGACCGGCTGTTGCTGCGAGGGCCGAGAGACCCCTCAACGGCGTATCCGCGATCCGAAGATCGGCGATGGGTTCCATGGCTGGGCTGGACGCCCGGACCCGGGCGAGAAAGCGACGGCGATCGCGAGGCCGCCACGATCCTCGCCGGCTTCAGTGAAGGAGCTGGCTGGCGTCAGTGCGCACGGCGGAACTTGGCTGGGCGCCCCGCTTCCAGGAAACGGAGGAGGGCTGCTGCCGTGACGCTGCTTTCCGTCGCCGACGTCGACGTGCCCGCCCCTCTCCTTAATTGTATCCTTTCGTTAATCCCATCTGCCGGGCAGTAATCAAGTACCCTCCTGATTCCAAACGTGTTTTACAATTCTATATTTCTATATACACGTAGCATGTCCGTGCGTCGCTACGGAACTAAACTTGTGTGCTAAAAACATACGGATCGCAATATAAGATAACAATACCGTAAAATTAAATACCAACGTTAAAGTGACATTTAATTCCAAAACAAAGTTCGTGAAATTAACATAGTCAAGGAGAGCGCGGTGTCGCAGGCTCACAAACTCTACTGTATAGACCTTTCCATGATGCGGCTAAGATAGTGTTTTATATCGGCAGGAAGAAATCTCCGATATCCATTTCTGTCGTGCGCCAATAAATCCACAGATAAGTTCCGCCGCATCTCCATATCATCCTGTACACATATTCGAGTATATATGGACATGTTCGGCTCGGCTCGGCTCGACTTGTTTCAGCTTATTCTCTCTCACAGAACACTATTGAATCAGTCAAAACCAGTCGGAACAAATTAGTGCACAGTACTTTTGTCTACCAGCCGAACGAGCTGTATGTAAATAGCATTTGTCCGGGCGTTGCTACGGGAGTTTCAAAATTCTAAGAACTTAGCATGAAATAAATTTACCTCCAACAAATCAGAAGAATTAATTATCTGCTAGAATACGATTGTTTCACACCAAAGGTTAAAATGCTACAGTAATAAGTTTAAAGGAAAATGCTCAAGTACAGCACCCTTCACTGAAAGTTCACGTTAGCACTCATGTTTGTGGCTGCCGAGTCCTGGCTTTAAAGTGGCAGAAGAATTCCTGTTGGTGGCCTAAACAAAAAAAGGAGATTGAAACAATGTAATTGGACGAAGACATATCTCCTATATCAGTTGGAGTCAGGATTAAATCAATGATCACAGCATTTTTACCTTTTTTTAGTACTAATGCAATACCAACATGAGTGGGTGAGGGAGGGGTTGGGTTCTTTCGGATGCAAATTAATACTACTTGATGGTAGTATAGGGATGGCCGGTAGGAAAGGAAGCAAGAGCTCATTCTGGTGCCTCACAGGCAGACACCTGCATTTTTAGGAGTTGTGGACATATATGCGATATAAACATGACTTACACGAATAATCCAATTCAGTACCCTTGCACATGACTAATCCAAATCGAACTCAGGAATAATCCAAGCAATTCTAACATGACATTCCATCATTTTTTACTACATTAATAAAGAAAATACACCCAGGAAAATACTAAATGCATGTGAGTATATCTAGGCCTAGCAGAATCAGAAGAGCATTTTTTATGTTATTGTTATAGGATATTTTCTAAGGGCAACATATTAGCATTCCATTCATCAAAGAAAAAGTACACGCAAGGCCAACACTAAATAAAATATCTTTGCTGTAGCTGATAGATGGACAAAATCATACAAACTGATGGGAAATGGCCCGTGCGTTGGTACGAGACAGCTAAACTTTTATACTAAATGACAGATAAACCTAGTGCTAAAGCACTTGTATCTTACTTTTTCTGTAATTTTTGCTTTCTTTGGCTTCCAACCCTAGTGTTAGGAATATGCCCAGCATCCACTTTAGTGGTTAGAATATGCGATAGCAAATGTGAGTCCCCTTTACCTATAAAAGGCAAGGGAGTGTCATAGTAAAAAACAAGTCATTGCATTTCCATTCAAATCCAAACGGCTAAGGGTCAAGCTGCTCTCTAGTAGTTCCAGATCTGAATCTGAGATCCAATCGGACCAATAATCTGGTATCAGAGCCGAGAGGGCTCTTAAGTGAGCCAGCGCCATGTCCACTGTCAGACAGGTCACGAGAGCGCGCGCCGCCGCAGGTGCCAGTGCCGATAATCGCACGACGTGCCTTGCTGCCGCAGAGGCAGCGGCTACTACGGCGGCCGAGACGGCCAGGCAGGCAGCGGCTGTGGCCCAGGCCATGGTAGCCACGGCCGCAGCACTGCGTGCCGAGATGGAGCGGGAGCCAGAGCTAGCTGGAGGATCGCGTAGCCCGGTCGGGCGCCGCCACCGGTCGTCGCCACCAGAGCGGCGTCGTGGTTGGTGCGGCCGCTCCCTGGTGCTGTAGACGGTCTACCATGACTCTGGAGCGGGAATGCCATGGCCGATGCTCACCAAGTCGAATTACCACGAGTGGAGCCTGCTGATGAAGGTCAAGCTGCAAGCCCGGCGGCTATGGGAGGCGGTTCACGTCGGCGGCATCAACTACGACGATGATCGCCGGGCGCTGGAGGCTCTGTGCGCCGCCATCCCCACCGAGCTCGGCGCCTCACTCGCCACTAAGGCTACGACAAAGCTGGCGTGGGAATCAATCGCCGCGGCACGCATCGGCGAAGATCGTGTGCGCCAGGCGATGTTGCAAGCGCTTCCGAGGGGAGTGGGAAGGCCTCGCCTTTTAGCCTGGTGAGCAAGTCGAGGACTTTGCCCTTCGTCTTACCAATCTGATGGAGCAGATGGCGCGCAACGGTGACACCGATCTCACGGAGGAGCGCGCGGTGGAGAAATTCCTCCGCTGCATGCCGAAGTGGTACGCGCAGATCGTCAATTCGATCGAGACGCTCACCGTCGAGGACGTCATCAGGAGGCTCAAGGCGGTGCAAGACCGTGAGCAGGCGCCAAACTCTGAGCAAGGTGCCACTGGAGGTAAGCTGCTGTACACAATGGAGCAGTGGCGCGCCTTCGATAAGAAGAAGGAGGAAGGAACTGGTTCGTCTAGCTCCAGGGAGCGTCAACGGTGTCCACACAGCGGCAAGGAGGAGAAGGGACCCTAGGGCTAGGTTGGCGCTGATGGCGGTGCCGTCGGCGAGCGCAAGGCGATCTAAGATGACACCTACAACAACTGTGGCAAGACTGGCCACTAGGCCAAGGACTGCCACCTTCCTCCATACCCCGGTGGGCAGGCTCACGTTGCGCAAGCAGAGGAGCAGGATGCCACCCTGTTCCTGGCGCACGGGTGCATCGAGTTATAGCAAGACACAGGGGAGGGGTGAAAGGTCCAAGCTTTCCCCTTTCCAGGTCGGCTGGCTCTGTCGAGCTCCACCTCGATGAACCACGCGTCCACGCCTTCCTCGGCAAAGGTGCCACTAATGACAAGATCGACGGCTGGTACCTCGACACCGGTGCGATGCACCACATGACTGGTCAACACGAGTTCTTCTCCGACCTGGACTCCGACGTGAAGGGCTCCGTCAAGTTCGGTGACGCCTCCGTCGTCGAGATCAAGGGCGTTGACTCGGTCATCTTCAAGGCCGAGATATGGGAGCACCATCTTCTCACCGGGGTGTACTACATCCCGGCCTTGAAGAACTCCATCATCAGCGTTAGGCAGCTGGACAAGAATGGCTCACGGGTGGAGATTGAGGGCGGCTTGCTACGCATCTAGGATAGAGGCCGCCGTCTTCTCGCCAAGGTGTACCAGGGAAGCAACCACCTTTATGTGCTCCATGTACAGGTGGTGTATGTGGTAGAACCGCCCAAAATAACACGCTTTTGGAGGCGCTCGTCTTCCACTAGACACTAAGCACCCTGAAAGTGAGCTACATCGGACAGTTCCGTCGAGCACACCCCAAGGGAGAACTCGAAACAATCTACGTTTTACATCTAGAATCCAATAATGAGTACGAGCTTATAATACTTAGTCCATTTCATACAGCAAGAGTTCTTGAAAATTATTTATCACAATACCAGAGTTTAGAGTACGATAATTAAACAGCAGAATGAAAATAAACATCTAGCGGAAATGATACAAGGATCCGTCTGTGCCCACCAGAAGAATCCTTCACACAAGAGCTACTCCTCAAGCTGCTCCTGCAACAGGGGTAAAATAAACCCTGAGTATACAATGTACTCGCAAGACTTACCCAACTAGTGAGAATAGTTTTCCGACTCTCAAGGATATGATATGCAATATGGGTTTGCTGTTTTCTTTTTGTTTGCGGAAAGCATTACTAATAGTTCATCCTTACAGTCAAATTTTATTAGTAGTCGTGATTACTTCATTAGCTAACCATTCTATGTAAGCACATGTTCTACTTTCAAGCAAGGGTTGAGCAATCAGAACCATTTCACCATCTTTTATCTTCCAGTTCTTACTACGGTGCTAGAACATAGCCAAGTCATACCATCTCATGAAAACGGTGATTCGTGAACCAATATATCCCAGCTGGGTACCCCGAAACACACGTCCCGTTTGTACCCCAGGCACAAACAAGACCAACCCAATCCACTCCTGTCACGATGTCCATGTCCCCGTCCAAACTTGGACTCCAAGCCCCCACACTTGAGACCCGGTCTCAACATGGTGCTTAGACCTCCACCTTTTCTCGCCTCCAATCATTCGGTCCAGAAAGAGCCGAAACCCACGACAAGAGCGTAACGAGCCTTCCCGCTCCCATAAGCAAGTATGTGCTCAGGATAATAAGTATGTGACCTGACTACCATCCACAGCAACGGTCGGTCCTTAATCGATATGATAGGGAAAACAGTATAACCAAGATAAGCCCCGTTAGCTGCGGGACACAACCTGTTACACCCACTAATACCCATACCATATCCATACCCTATCTCCATTTTTGCTTTCATCATTTTATTATGAGAGTAATAATAATCCCCTATTGTGAGCAACGACAGGTTACTCACGCTATCGATGATGTAAGTATAGCGTCTACTCGAACCTACACTAGTAAGACTCTTAGGACAGGTATATCTATGCATATGGTTTCCATAAAATTACTATAACGTAAATGCACACCACATATATATACGGTGAATTATAAAATAGAGGTTATGCACCGGGGCTTGCCTTGGGCAGGCGTGGTGTCAGCTCAGTCAGTCAGTGTCGGCTCCAGGACCTCCTCCTGCATGAGAATCTCCTCCTCATACTCCTCGAAGATCTCCTCGAACTCGTGATCACCGGTGGTCACGATCTCCGCCAACTCGTTCTCTACATGCATGCGATGATGATGCAACACTGAGCATTTAGGCAACATCAACTCTTAAAATAAGAATATGCA